GCATGATGATGTGGCGCTGCCTCAGGTCTCCATTGCATGATGATGTGGCGCTGCCTATGGTCTACATTGCATGATGATGTGGCGCTGCCTATGGTAATACATTGCATGATGATGTGGCGCTGCTTCTGGTCTATGCTACATGCTGATGAGGCACTGCCAGTGGTCTTCATTGATGATGTGGCAAATGCCAACTGTCTTGACTGCTGCCGTGGCATTGTCCACGCTGTCTACATGAGGTGACTGGTTGTGAGGAGGAGGAAGATCGGGATCTGTGGATGATTGGTTTCGGGTACTCACCTGAGTTTGACGTCGTCATGATACTCTGCTGTGTCTTCACGGTCTTCATGAGATGAGAGTGTCACGTGGCACTTCTGTGTGGCCAGGATTACTACATTTGTTACACTGTTTCTGATGTGGAGAGGAGGAAGAAGCCCGGAGAAGGAGTGGGTTTGATGGGATTATTCTTGTGTGATGTATTGTACTTCTCGCCCACCTTCTCCTTTGTCTATCCTCCCTCCTCTCTCCTCGTCTATTGATGACAAGTTACTGTTTCAGATCACATTTCACGGTAATTGGAGACTATGTTGCAGATGTTGAGTCTACTGGTGTTCGACGACTGACGAGTATCTGTTAGACTTGGTTTCATTACAATTTAATATTCGAGCTAACCTCTCCATTACAATCTGCTGTCTGCTGTCAGGTGCTGACGTGGCACCCAGGTAAGTGGGAAGTGCCGCATGTGCAAAACAAAACGCGTTTATTAACGCGCGCGGTAACACCGCAAGACTAGACATGGTAGTAATGCACGTGCAAGCAGCTGTCCCTTGAAGATGATGACGAGGCTACGCTGAAGATTGAAGAGCTGCGTTGGCAACAGGCTGATGTGGCACTGGTACCGCTGATGTGGCACACTGTTTATGTGGCATGCAGGGCACGGTCTGACGTGGCACGTACCTCTGTCACTTGCTGTTGACGTGCTGACGTGGTATGCTGGTGTTGAGTGTAAGACAGACCTGCATTGTGACGTGGCATCCCTCCTTGTAGACCGCTTCGGTCTTTGATGCTGATGTGGCAGAATTGTTGCGTTTGCATGCCAGGGGTGACACGTGGCATGCGTAAGGGCTGTTGCAGGTGTGAATGTGCACTTGGATTGTATTGCTGCTGCAGATGATCGAGAAGTGAGCTAACCATTGATTGTGTTATGTGTTGGTTCTACTTACCTGTTGGTTGTCTGTGGATGCTGTGCATACTTACACTTGTGTTGTCGTCTTGATCACACTGGCCGTGGCTGCGGTACCTGTAGTTGTAGACCGTCATCACAAAGAATAGACAACAAAGTTAGAACTTAGGAAAGACTTGGAAACTTGATTCTTCTGATAACTTCTTGCTGAAAAGTTGCTATAGACGTCGCGTGTACTGTGGAATTTATTTTTGTCTTTAATTTCTATTTATTGTGCAGTAAATACATGCGGGCGAAATGAACTCTCTATGGAAATGCCTGTGTTTCTCCATCCTGACCCGGTTCATTCCTTCACTTTTCTTTCCTATCCCTCTTATGGTCTACGCTGATACGCTGATACCGAAGGGGGGGAACTGAAAACCCGTGGTCAGATTGACGCGAAAAGGCAAATGTTGAAGGGCCTTCTTCACCAGTTGCTTGGTGAGTTACACGATGCCGGTCAAGCAACTGAACAGCAAGTTCTCGGGCAGTTCAACCTGCGAGCTGCAAAGGCTTGACCTGAAGCCGCGGAAACTGGTGTTGAGATGCTGGAAACCGGGCAGCGAGTTGAAGAACTCGTCAGACAAGGGCGTAGTGCCTTTGACAGTCTCGTCGCCAAGCAATTCGAAAGAATGGAGTAGAAAATGGAAGAAAAGGAAGAGGAAAGAAAGGATTTCTCAATAGAGACAATGGAGGAAAACATTAGACAATTAGAGAAATCCCTTACAGACGAACGAAGGAAGATTGAAGAGTATCGGAAGAGGAAAGAAGAAAAAGAGCAGCAAGAGAGGATGTTAGAAGAAATGAGAGAAAAATTTAATTTCGAGGACGTGGAAATTGACCTCTCGTTCGTATTGCAATCTATTATGGCCTACCTTGTTCATCTTGAGAGAAAGATCGATGCTAATACCGTCTCCTTGCATATTGTGACAAGACTGGTGAAGGGAAAGGATAAGGTAAATTTTGAGGAGGAGACGAAGGGGGAAGATAGGAAACCACCCCAGGAGAAACTCATGAAAGATGCAATACGGACGGTAGAGAAACCGGGACCCTCAAAGAAAGAGTCTGAGAAACCAGCAAAGAAGAAACAAGAACCTACTGAAAAGAAGGAAGAGTCGGCCAAAGAAAGTGAGAAGCCGAAGAGGAAAGAAAAGGTAAAGATGAAATTGCCATTCACATACAGTAATAAGGAGGAAAATTTGTTGTTGTGGATTGCGGAAATCCAGACTTACTGTGGGACAGCACCCATTGAGCCCGAAAGTCAGGTCGCTTTCTCCACGTCTTGTCTGGGAAGAGTGGCCAAGGAATGGGTGTTGGCCGAAGCCAATGCTGCTGGGTTCGAGGACATAGGTGAGTGGGCAAAAACACTTACTCTCAGACAATTTCTCCAAGATATTAAGGAGAGATTTCTCGACAAGACGACAACCGATATTAAGGACAGATTTCTCGTCAAGATGAGAACCGATAAAGATTTCGATGAGCTCACCACCATTGGCCAGAAGCGTTGGTCTTCAGTTGATTCACTGTCGCGTGAAGTTGATCGTCTGTTGCAGGTACTTGGACTGAACCTTCAGGAGAAACTCATGAAAGATGCAATACGAATGGTAGAGAAACCGGGACCCTCAAAGAAAGAGTCTGAGAAACAGGCAAAGAAGAAACAAGAACCTACCGAAAAGAAGGAAGAGTCGGCCAAAGAAAGTGAAAAGTCGAAGAAGAAAGAAAAGGTAAAGATGAAATTGCCATTCACACACAGTAATAAGGAGGAGAATCTGTTGTTGTGGATTGCGGAAATCCAGACTTACTGTGGGACAACACCCGTTGAGCCCCAAAGTCAAGTCGCTTTCTCCACGTCTTGTCTGGGAGGAGTGGCCAAGGAGTGGGTGTTGGCCGAAGCCAATGTTGCTGGGTTTGAGGACATAGGTGAGTGGGCCAAAACACTTGCTCTCAGACAATTTCTCCAAAAGATTAAGGAGAGATTTCTCGACAAGACGACAACCGATATTAAGGACAGATTTCTCGTCAAGACGAGAACCGATAAAGCTTTCGATGAGTTCACCACCATTGGCCAAAAGCGTTGGTCTTCAGTTGATTCACTGTTGCGTGAAGTTGATTGTCTATTGCAGGTACTTGGACTGAACCTTCAGGACAACCAGGTCCTTTATATCTACTCACGTGCTTTACCCGAGCCTATTCGCGGATAGCTCGTGGCAGAATCAAAGTCTGGGAAGTATAACTATCGACAGTTTTGCGATTTCGCTTTCCAACGAGAGCAAATGACTGCACAGGTAAAGGGATCGTACGCTTCGGTAGTCAAGTCAGGACCGGCTGGTGGGTATGGTAAGCGGTTTCTCTGGCGATAAAAACGCCAGGACCATATGTTGGTTGTTTTTAATGATGATACTGTAGAGAGGCTGCCCCTCGAGGAAACTGAGAAAGGACTCGCTAGTGGCGGCAGTGGATCTGGGAAGGGTGATGTCACTGCCGTGATGGCCAACAAGGGAGGCCAGACCCATTGGAAGAAGAAGAGGCCACGATCGTTTCCTGAGCATCCCAAAATAGCATTCGGGAAGCCCTGAGAGAAAATGAACATCACACATGAGGAGTGGTAGTCCAAAATGGACAACCGTTAGTGCCTCAAGTGTGGCGCCGTGGGGGATGTTATAGCCTGGTGTTCGCTTATTAGGAACCCAAAAGCGAGCAGCCAGTAGGAGTAACATTTGCTCCTACTGAGTCGAAGGGTGTAGACGAAGATAAAGGTAAGGCGCCTACAACCCCTTCTACCTCTTCGACTCTTTAAGGCAAATGATGGCTCTTCTTTCGCCCGTTGTCCAGAGCACCCTGACACTGTTCTTTGCTCTGTCTCACTGGACGATTCCCTTGATGAGCTTGGAAATTAACTCATAGCATTACGGAGTTCGTGGTCAAAGAAAGCGAACACTAAGGGTGAGTTGATGATTGCGGATATTGAGATTACACACACGCGAGTTGGTGCACTGTTAGATCCGGGATCGACGCAGTCTTATATCTCAGAAAAGGCAATTCAAAAATTGCATATGGGAATGAAGGTAAAAGATCTACCTCGACCTATCATGTTTATTCTGGATGACAAGAGGACGATCACCGTCTCTCAATACGTCGACCGTGTTAAATGTTATTTTCGGACTAAGGAAGGTAAGAAGATTCTATACGAGATATCCTTCCTAATTGAGAAGAATTTTGGGTATGGATTGGCATGAGGAAGCCGGCCCAGAAGTTAAGTTCAAAGATAAAATTGTCAAACTCAAGGACGAGAAGTCCGAATTGCGTGCGATAAAGTTGTATCATAAGTCTGGCTCTGACTCTACTCTGTTTTTCTGTTGTATGAGTTACCCAACTTTTCGATCAATGGTAGTAAAGAAGTTGGATCAGGAGGTGATGATGGTGCTTGTTAAGCGAGTTGGTGAATGTTCTTCATCCTATCCACCTTCTATCGAGAAACTTCTTGATGAGTACAAGGACTTGCAGACTGAGCCGACGTGAATTACTGAGCGTGCTTTCAAGCACACCATCGAGATCATTCCCGGAAGCAAGATTCCCAAGGGTCCCATCTACTGGATGTCTCCCAAGGAACATGAGGAACTGAGGAAGCAGTTGCAAGAACTTACTGATAAAGGATGGATTCACCCTTAGCTCATCTCCGTATGGTGTGCCTGTCTTATTCGTGCCCAAAAAGGAAGGTGAACTCCGTTTATGTATTGATTATCGTGGCCTGAATTCCATCACGGTTAAAAACGTGGAACCTTTTCCGCGCATTGACGATCTATTGGATTAGTTGTAGGGGTGTAGAGACTTCAATAAGATTGATTTCAAATCAGGGTATCACCAGATTGAGGTGGCTCCTGAGGATCAACACAAGACGACTTTCCGAGCTAGGTATGGTCACTACGAGTTCGTGGTTATGCCTTTCGGTCTGACCAATGCGCGTGCAACCTTTCAAAGATCAATGAATGAGTTGTTTCGTCAATGGCTTGACCAGTTCGTAATAGTGTATCTCGATGACATTCTAGTGTATAGCAAAACACTAGAGGATAATGAAAAACAATTACGAATGGTCTTGCAGAAGTTGCGCGAGGGCAACTTCAAATTGAATCCGAAGAAGTCTGAATTCACTAAGCCTAAAGTATTATACCTAGGGCACATAGTGAATAAAGAAGGACTAAGGCCTGAAGAGAAGAAAATAATAGCAATCAGAGATTGGCCTCAACCTAAGATTGTTATTGAACTCGGGCCTTTCCTAGGACTTGCTACTTATTAGAAGAAGTTCGTCAGAAACTTCTTCTTGATAGTTGTTCCTATCAGAAGACTGTTAAAGAAAGAAAAACCTTGGTTGTGGGACAAAGACTGTGAGTTATCTATCATTCAAAAAGTTAAAGTATGTTATGACTCACTACTCTGTCTTAAAGATTGCTCACCCTTCTCTACCTTTCATTGTCACGACTGACGCAAGTCTGTATGGGATTGGGGTTGTGTTACAAAACAGGATGATGGCAAGGGATATAGACCCATAGAGTTTATGTCCAAAAGACTTTCGTCAGAGAAAGTGGCCAACTCCACCTATGAGAGGGAACTGTATGCCTTGGTTGCTGCACTGCACACTTGGAAACATTATTTGTTAGGAAGGCACTTTACTGTTTACTCTGATCACTCTACCTTGAAGTGGATCAAGACTCAGCCTAAACTCTCTGACAAACTGACAACTCTCTGACAAACTGATAAGATGGTCCGCCTTCCTTGATACGTTTGACTTTGAGGTGAAGACCATCGAAGGTAAGTCTAACGTGGTTGTGGATGCTTTGTCCAGACGTGTAGATTTCTTTGGGACCATTGTCTCCTACCTTGATATTGGGAACGAACTGAAAGAACAGATTCGAAAGGGTTATGGTAGTGATCCTATCTGGAGTCCCATCAGTGGAACTCTACTGAAGAACCCTGAGTTATTCATGGAATATCGAATGTCTGATGGCTTACTCTTCTTTCTAGATAAAACCGAAGAAAGATTGTGTATTCCTCATCAAGAACAAATTAAGAGTGTAATCATTGGGGAGTGTCATGATGCAGAAGGACACTTTGGTTTTAAGAAGACGTATGCCGATGTCCGAGAACGATTTGAATGGAAAGGAATGAAAGAAGATGTAGTGACATACGTGTGGACTTGTCTTGTCTATCAGAGAAATAAGCCCTCACATGAGAAACCGATGGGACTATTGAGACCGCTACCTATTCGAAGTGAGCCAGGTGAGTTTATTTCAATTGACTTTATGAGTCTCACTAAGAGTCGGAGTGGCAACAGTCAGGTAATGGTCATAGTGAACAGATTCTCAAAATATGCGATGCTCATTCCTTTGCCTGCTGAAGTTAGAACCGAACTTTTTATTCAAAAGTTTCAAATGCGATGGGTCTTTGAGTATGGATTCCCTAAAACCAGTGTCTCTGATAGGGATGCCAGGTTGACCATGTTGTTAGGCAGACATCCTGAAACGAATGGCCAAACTGAGCAAATGAATTGTCTATGCCAACAACTTTTGCGAATGTATGTCCGACCCGATCAGATTGATTGGGATGAGAACTTGCCTAAAATTGCTAGTGCCTACACTAACAGTATATATATTGTCACAAGTAGAAGTCCTAACGCACTACATAAAGGATGGAAGCCTTGGCGTCCCATTGATGCATTAACCAGAGACCAGATTCAGAGGGTACCCCCAGGTACGGGTGAGTTTGCAGTTCTATACGAAGAAGACATCAAGAAGGTTGAAGAAAACATCCAGAAGACCCAACTGCAAATGATTGAACAGGCTAACAAACATCGCCGACCTTCGCAGTTTCAAGAAGGGGATCTTGTTTGGGTCTAGTCTAAAGAGTTTTCTCTAGAAGAGAATATGTCTGAGAAACTGCTACCTGTCTACTATGGACCCTGGGAAGTTCTCAAAGTAATTGGAGGTGAAGATGGACCTTCCTACCGCATAGATGTGCCTCCACATCCAAGGACATACCCTGTCTTCCATGCTTCTAAACTGCTACCCTATGTAGGAAGTGATAATTTTCCAAGTAGGCCTCTATGTTTCCACCCTCCATGAACGGGGGCTATGAAGTTGAAAGAATATTGGAACATGGCCACTTCTCTACAGGGGGGCAGAGGACGACTGCAGAAGCAGTACAAAGTAATGTTCAAGTCCCAACCTCCATCTGAAGCTAGATGGTTTAGTAGGAAGTAACTCCTACCTACTTCTCTTAACATTGTAGCTGCATATGAACATGGGTTAACTAAGAATTAATGTATTTTCTGCGATGGAACTAGAAAACTGGGTTGACAGGAATGCAATAACCCATGCTGTATGCCTCGTGGAAAGTCTAAGGGCCGACGCGTCAGCCCTCAGTCCAGGCCAAACGGGGAAAAGACCCCCACACGTGAATTCAGGGCCTGGACGTGAGACAATTGACTTCTCGTCAACTGTCTGGACCGCTAGGTCAAAGGTACCCAGTCCAGGCCGTCGGTCAAGCACACACACTTGTTTGTATGCAGGTACCCAGACCTCATCAGGGCCAAGGGGGAAATCTGCAATTGTACGATCTAGGCCTTCAATAGGGAGTCAATTTGGACGTCTGAGGGGAAGTGACCCGAGGCCAGAGAGTCTCGTTAAACACTACTTAAAGACTGGCCTCGAGGTGGTCAACATCCAGTCTTGCTATGTTGCTTTGACGCTGGCTCGACTTTGACTAGACGCTGGCTTCATGCTGGCTACATGCTGGCTGTGCACATGCGTTGCGGACGACAACATGAGGTGGAGGCAGCATGCTGGCGCTTCTTGTTCTGTGCGCCAGGCCATGATGATGTGGCGCTGCCTCAGGTCTACATTGCATGATGATGTGGCACTGCCTATGGTCTACATTGCATGATGGTGTGGTGGTGCCTATGGTCTACATTGCATGATGATGTGGCGGTGCCTCAAGTCTCCATTGCATGATGATGTGGTGTTGCCTCAGGTCTCCATTGCATGATGATGTGGCGGTGCCTATGGTCTACATTGATGATGTGGCACTGCCTCAGGTCTCCATTGCATGATGATGCGGTGCTGCCTATGGTTTACATTGCATGATGATGTGGCGCTGCCTATGGTCTACATTGCATGATGATGTGGCGATGCTTCTGGTTTATGCTACATGCTGATGAGGCTCTACCATTGGTCTTCAT